GAAGTCAAGGAAAATAACTGAAATTTTTATAACAACCAGCAGGATGTCTCTCCTACATATAGCAGTGTTGTGGCATTAAAAAAACCCAACCTGACCCAGGTTGCATTTTTTTTTTCATAATGTCTACAATGATAGAACTGCTTGGAATACATCACTGGATAATGTTTATTGTTCAGGAAAGATAGCAATTGCTTAAATGCATTAAGTTACTTAAAATTGAAAAAGTCCTTCAACTGTGGGTAGTGTCCTAATATTAAATCCACTTTTATTTCAATACAGGCTTAAAGCAGACCCAAAAGTGTGCCCCCCTAAGTGTTGCCCAGGGCAGACCACCTTCTTGCCCTGCCACCACTAGCTATGTTACTGCTTTTGATTTTGCTAAAATAAAAATTGTATAGCTGATGCAATGCCATTTTTCTTTTGTTGGCTTAATTAGTTATAAAAACTTAATTTTTATTTGCTTTATTTTATTGTTTTAAAGTTTTGATTTCAGTCTCAAAATAAATTAATTGAATTCAAATTACCAAATTTTTTAATTTTTTTTTTTTTTTGGTAAATTGGATTTTCCAATTTATATCTATTTTGTTTGGTTTGATTATAAAAAGCAATACTAACCATTGTTTGATTTTTGTTTTGTTTATATTTTTAGTAACAGTGTAAATGTTCTTTCAGTTAAGCACCTTATGGGTGTAGAAAAATGTCTTAGCATGTATTCAAGTCTGACATACATTGTATATTTGGCTGAATAAAATTAACTTGGATGCATATCTAATAAGACTCTCATGGTTGAGTGTAAGATATTGATGATTGTATTATATTCATTGACTATAACATTATTTATACAATGAATATTTTAATGATATTTTTAAAGCGATTTAATTTCAACTATTTCCTGTGTATAACTTTGCTGATTGTTGGAGATTTGCTGATGGTAGTTTTTGTCTTTGAAGGCCAGCCCATCTGAAGACAGTGAAGATTCTCTCAGTTCTCCTGTAAGTCAATTGCAGCAAACCGTTTCTTTCTTCCAAAACATAAGTAAATATGAGGTAAGTAGACAGTATGGCTAATAATCTGCCAAAATAAATTTATTTTCTAATTCCATTTATATTGAACAATTAAACTTTTTTCTATTCAGATATTTCTAGATTGCAATTTAAATTTTTTTTCATTATTTACATTATTCAACTATTGTTCTCATCTTTGTTGCCATATTTATTACAACGTTTCAGCCATTGTACACTCGAGTCTTCTTCAGGTGTTTGGAATGACGAACTGAACCCTTTATTTCGCTCACTGGGGTAGACTGTTCTAATTCCACGTGCCATGTTTAATGGATGTCATTTATCAGTTATCTCCTGATAATTTCCCTCTGAAAGTTCTCCACTGCCTTAACTATTTAACTCACACTCTTTGGGTCCTGTCACTGGGTCTAACCAATGCCTTTATCCACTGTGCCATGTGTCCATGTGTATGAATTTCTGGGTATTATAAACCTAATGTCTCAGCAACCATTTTTGCCAGTGCTCATATTGCAATTTTTTGCTGTTATCATTGCACTTTTTTTTTTTTTTTTTTTTTACCAGAGCTCATATTGCAACTTTTGTGTTGTTATTATTATTGGTTTTCTCTGTCACTCCTTATTACTGGTTCCCATATTATAATTTTATTTTTTTTTTATCCAGGATATCTTTCTTTTTGTTTTTAGCATTTTGATATTTGATGTCATTCTGGCCGTGGTTAAATGTAAAAAAAATAAATGACAGAACTGTGCCCAACAGACAGAATTTAACAAAGTTTACAATAAGCTGTAATGAAGAACAGGTCAAAAAATATAAAGCAAGCAAATCATATATGCAAGGCAAATTAACAGTAATAAGATAAAACAACAGTAATATGGCAAAAAGTTCACAAACTTAAGAATTGGGGTTGGCATACAAGAGCAAGTTCAGATAAGTGAATGTAGCATTCTGACTTCAAGATAAGACAGACTAGGACTGAGTCATATAAAACCAAGAACTTGCCTATTTTATTGGCTAGAAAGAAATCCCAGCATGCATTTGTGTGTTTCTGCCTATAAATTGGTGAGGGGAAAGTGTTTTGCAATTAGTCCAAGTAGTATTGGAACCAACATGTTCTTATCAGTAGAATGTGGGAGTTAGCCAAGTGTTCCTGGGATCAGTTTCATGTCACTCTTTGCACAATAAAGGGTTGGGTTATCTGGCAAGAATTAACCATCATCACTGGAAAACATGAGAAATATAAAGAGTTGCAAATGGTTTGCAAGAAGACTTCTATATAGCCCGCTTATCAAAACAGATTATGGTTCCACTGGGGGTTCTTGCAAACTCCAGTAGGACACACCCTACATGATTACAGAGGTAGTTGTCACCAGGTTTCCCAACATCCTGCTAACAAGACTATAACCAAACCTCATCTAGTCTCCTTCATACATGCACAACCCCAAAAAGATAGAAAGACAGAAAGTTTGCCATGGTCCAATGGCTATTTTCTCTGTGCCAGGTGAGCTTCAGTAAGCAAAGATATATTGTCAATGGTATTGTTGTTTGTTGATGGCTATGAAAACACATACAATGCAGAGTAATGTTGACTGATGGGTTGTGCAGCACCAGCTGAATTGAAATGTGATTTGATGCAATGTTCCCTTTTATTGGTTGTTTACCATCCTTGCCAGTGGTTGGTTAGTGATCTTTTTTTTTTCTTCGTACAACACCTGTGGGTGCTGACAGTTTTATGTGCTGCTGGTAACTGGCCAGAATTTACTTTAGCATCATCCTCTCTCCTTATTCCCTTTCTCCCCTCTGGTGACAGTGGCAGAGATGGCTGTGAAGGCCCAGCCTCTTCCTGAAGAGTCGTGAGCAAAACTGTGGGTTATGGGTGAGTCGGCTCTCCTGACAGCACATCACACATACTCTTCATGTTGATAGTCTCAGTCCCCCCTCAGATGGTTCTACACCAGGAAGGCTGATTTGCAGCACTGGTTTCCCAGGTCTCAGGGTTAATGTTAGCCTGTGTCAGGGATACCTTCAACTGATCCTTGAAACGTTGTTTTGGGCCTCTTCCCACTGGCAAGTTCTTCAAACAGGATATGTGGGAGTGATGCCACGATATCAATAATGGTAACACTGCTTGCTGACAGTGGGAAATACAGTGTATACAGTACAGTGCATTGACTGATGAGTTGAGTGGCACTAGCATTGAATTTGTTGCAATGCTGCTCTCTGGAACTTGACAAGGATGATAATTACCTGTCATCCTGTTCTTGCATTTCCTGTAGGTGCTTATAGTTTTCGCATGCTGCTGACCGATGTCCAGAATTTGCATTTTCCTAGTATAATAACCAGGTGCAGTTGCCACTTTTTGAGACAGTTCTCCATCTTTTGGGCCCCCAAAAACTGTTCCACAGACTAATGATATTAAATCCTTTTGGCATGCTATGTCTACCAAAGCTACACTACATCCTTACTTACTGCATTACATGCATATCATCTAGTTGAGTTTATTTCTACAAATGGGGGAGGAAAAGCCATCCAAGCTATTTATTTATTTTTTTTTTTTTTTATCTGAACTTTACTTTATTTTTTTTTTTTTTATGTGTTACTGACTAAAAAGTAAAAAAAATGAAATTTTGTTTACGGATCAACCATAAAATAAAAAATATATAATTAAATAGAAGTTGTCTCTTAACCTTTATCTCGCTGTATGTGACTTCATTTGCTGTACAAAAATTTATCCTGTCACTGAAGGTGACTCTGATCTCTGAATTTTATTGAATTTAATAGTTGTTATCATATCCTGCTATGGCAACAGATAAAAAAAAATTGAGTAAAATTAACAATAAGAATACTGCAATTGAGAGGCCTTTGAAAAAGAATGCAGTAGAAAGGGAAGTAATATTAATAATGCAGAGGGCTAAAAGTTAATAATTTATTTAATTTTATAGGACTTCATGGTAAACAATATTTTTTAAGAAAATCTGTTTTTCCTTTTTAACAGTAAAGAATAAATTTTTATGATTTCTTACTCTTGAGCATACAACATACAATTGGTCATGCATAAATATTTCTCTCTGGAGCCAATTTCCAACTTTTTAAGTTTTGGCCTTGTGCTTTGTTTATTGTTCTTGCAAATGCAGAGTAAACTGGAAACTAGATTCTTGTATATATATATATATATATATATATATATATATATATATATATAAAAACTTACAAAAAACAATATTGCATTTTTATTAAATAAGTATTTGTTATTTTAATCATTAAATTGTTTTTAAAATAGTGGGAGTATTTTGTGTGTTAAATAATAAAACTTTTTTTTCCAAAAGAATTATTTAAAATTTATTCTAAGTTACACACCACAGTAAAACCAACTGTACTTTATGCCCCCTTACCTGTTTGTTCTTCTCCCTAGAATGTAGCTTTGATTGGTTAATGTATGGTTATTATAGATGGTGTGATAGGCGGACTAATGGAAGTCTCAGAGTTTTATATAATAGAATTTTTTTTTATTTTTTTTATTTTTTTTTTTTTTTTACAATATGCTGACACATGTTGAAATCCTCACTGTATTTAGTATTGCTGTAGTTATCATTGATATTTTTTGTCGAGATTTACAAACTCATTCAATTTTGCAAACCAATCAATGAAATTTGAATAAGCTGACTTGTTTGGAAAAATACATTGACAAAAACACCTCAATTTTTACACACCCCTAGTAAAACCAATTGTACTTTGTGTCCCCCCCTATCTGCTAGCACTTCTCTACAAAATTTCGTTTTGATTGGTCAATGTATGGCTATTTTGGAGGGTGTGATAGACAGATGGAATTCACAGAATTTTATATATATATATATATATATATATATGATTTAAGAAACAGTAATTAATTTTATATATAGTGCTCAATATTAAAAATATAAAAATATTAAAAATAGAGCATTAATGAAAAAATTGGAAATACTGTTTAAAACCACTAAAAATTCTTGACTGACAATTTTACTAAGGAACATCAATTTCAGGATAAAAATTGATATTTAAAAAGTTAAGTAATCTTTTCATGTGTGTAATACATAGTTTTAGTAGGTACATTTGAATTGGAATATTATTATTAGATGGTCAAATAAAAAAAATATGCAATATTTCTTTGTGTATATAAACTGAGAATTTTGAGAGTAAGTGTTAGTAACATCTGCTATGCTTTTTTAAATACGTCCTTGTTATACTGTTTTAACATGTTATTTTGTTTGTTTAGTGGTGGGGGTGCTTATATTGTTAGGCAGTGATCTCCTTTTTCCCTCCATATATGGTCTGCTATACCTGATTTTTCTATTTCCCCTTGTGTTACAACCTTACTGTGTTCCTGCAGTCTTAACCTAAGGAGTGGCCTATTTCTCCTTGATATTTCTTGCCACAGCTGCACCGGATGACATACACACAATCCTTAATCATGTTCTCATCTATGGCTGGAGCATACAATGACCGAAATAGAAATATGGCAATAAAAATGCAGACAACAGTCCAAATTGTGTAAATAGTTACAATACCTCATCTCGGAAATATCGACAAATGGCGAAACCTAGTTTGTGTTATTAAATGATGTACAACTTGTGCATGGAAGCTAAGACTTTCCTTCACCAAAAGAAGATAACCTTCAGTGAATGTTCATTTTCACATAACAAACTGCCTCACTTAAAGACACAATTACAGGGGCACCTCGACTTATGACAGAGTTCTATTCCTATGATATGTCGTAATGTGATTTTCCATGAATAAGACCTTATGTCACCTAAATATAATACATAAAATGAAATTGTTTTAAGCAGCTTGTATATTTATTACCAGTGATGTCATTGACTCTCGATAGAGGAGATGAAATATAATGAAATTAAATAAAATATAATACATATATGTAAGAGACAAACGGCATAAGTCCAAAAAGATTAACAGAGATTGCGCCAGAACCAGAAATCATTGATTGGGACACTGTCATAACCCAAGGATTTATTGCACATTCATAATTTTTTGATGCTATGAATGATTGAGTTTCATCTTGTGTAAATTATATTTTCTTTTTTTAGTAAAACAGAACCTTCAATCAACCTTTGACCTCTACTAAAATCTGATATGCATTATTTAATCTTTTGTTGTTATAAAATCAACCTTTATTGTCCAATTTCAATTTTCATTTCTATTTTCCCCAACAGTTTCTTGTGATAAACTGGTGACCCCTAAATAGAACACTATATTTACTTAGACGCCTGTCATGTGTGCAACAAAAGAAAAAAGATAAAGAGAAGTAAACAGAAAGGCAACACCAATTAAGCTTTATAGTAAACAAAAAAAAAGGTTTTATTACAATTTTAATGATTTTGATCAGTGACTAAAAAAAGAAAAACATGGAGGCTTACCGGCAAAAAGTTAGAAATACTTCAAAATAACTTCAGTTGGGAGTTGCTGAGTTTATATGGTATAGTTTACATATCAGGTCATTGAATGGAAGTAAATGAACTGCTCTGAAGCAGATTTCTGCAACAACTGACTTTGCCAGCCAACTCACTTAATTTTGGTACCAGCCAATGAATACTAATACCTGGATGAAAGACCTCCACTTTGACCGTGAACTCTGAGAAGTTTCATTCATAAAAATAGAGTATTTTAACTCACTGTATGATTATAGCACCTACCTTTTCTTTAATACTCCTGCATAAGGCTTGAATTTAATTGTCCCATTGCCAATCAAGTGTAGTTTTCTCACTGGCTTTTCACAATGAAAGAATTGATAGCTGCCTATATGAACAAATTCAATTTCTCACAATGTTACCTGTCCAAATCATGACCACACTGAAGCTGCTATATCCATTGTCAGCTATAACACAAAGCCAGTAATAAAAGTTGGAAGTAATGTTTTTGTAAGTGGTGATTTATTAGTCTAGTTTCTTAATTTTTCAGGAAGAAATAAAAAAGTTTGTAACAGCTGTGGTTAACGAGGAAGTGGAGACAGCAGAGAAACACTTGATTGTTAAAAATCCAGAACTTCCTGATTTTGAATGCTGCCTGGCTGATGCTCGTTATAAGGTACTGCATTTTTCCTCAATCTTTCATTTTCATTGAATCATCCTAAAATGTATGTGATCCTGAAAAACACTTAAGTAATCAGTATTTGATTGACGAAGAAAGTATGATTGGTTTTTTGTTAATTGTGATATTTGTTTTGAATTCTAAAATATTCTCAATTTTTTGATCTCTTGGATGTTTCTTTTTTTTTTTTTTTTTTTTTTTTTTATCCATGGACTAAATAAGTCGTTTTATTTCTGTTGATTTTTAAGCTTAATCATTTTCATGATTTGATTGTAATATTTGCTATTATTCTTATCCTTGATCCAAACACTTCATCCCTACTTTATCAAGAGGCTTAAAAATTGTTAACCTTTTATCACTCTGTATATGAATTCATTTTCTGTACAAAAAGTTTATCCTGTTGCTGAAGGTGACTCTGATCCATGGATAATAGTTCGTTTGAATTTCATAGTTGTGTTGTCATATCCAGCTATGGCAACAGAAAACAACTTTGAGTGAAATTAACAATAACAATACTGCAATTGAGAAACTTTGAAAAAATATTCAAAGAAAAGACAAGTAATAATAATGCAGAATGCTAAAGGTTAATTATGGGTCAATTTTTGGAAATTGCAGCATTTTGGGTTTGAATTTCTGAATTATTTACATATCACAATGTTTCAACTGTTGTTTCCTTTGGCCTTCTTCAGGTGGCTATTGATCTGGGTAACCTTCAGGAAATTTCTAATTAACCCTTTAATTCTTTCTCATTTTGTGGTCCATGTCTAAGGGTATCTAGTCTTAGTACTGCTCAGTTATTGTTAGCTCTGTTTCCATTGATTCAGAGTCTGTACTATGTAGGGATTGAACTTCAAATTGCTATGCCATCCACAGATGATCAAAAACTACAAAATCCTCATTTATAAAAGTAAAGAATAGATAGGAGAGGACATTTCAACACTGGCTAACTCATCTCCATCACAACTCAACTCCAGGGTAACTCACCACCAACCTACTTAGCGTGAAGACAACATTCATAGCTTCAGACCAGTGTTGGTTGTCCTAGCATGCACATCTTTTAAATCGGCTTTGAGTCCTAGAGAATTTAAAAGTTTGGCTATACATTTTATTAATTATAACAGCCTATTTGGCTGACTGGTGTTTAATTTCAAGATTGGCCAAATAACCATGCTGAAGGTGCTGGGGATGGAGCATCCCTACAATATAGAGATTCATTATGGAGCTGCAAAAGGTGAACCTGAGATCCATTTTTCAAGCAATTTATTGGAGTTCATGCTCCCTCTCCTTAAATTGAAGAAGTCTATGAAGACAAATGAAAGAATTTTACAGATTGTTTCTTCTTTTTCACAACGATTTCCAACTGAATATTTGAGGAAAATTGCACTCAAGAATAAAAACTTTCTATAACAACTAAATCTCATTTTTTTTTCCACTACAGCATTATTATGTTTGAAGATCTAAGCATAAATTTGGTCACTTTAAATATAATCTGCAACCATTGCTTTAAAAATATACACACACACACACACACGTATATAACATTTTCAGCCAATATGCAATGGAAAGACTTTATTGGAATCCACTTCTAAGTCAGCTGTCAAGAAAGTTGGTTCACTGTGTCATGCGAGACAATTTTTCTCTCCAGAATCTCTTACATATCTATAAGTCCACCATACATCCATGCTTAGAATATTACTGCCACATATGGTCCAGTGGCCCTCTGCTATTTACCTTGAGCTCCTTGATAAGATCTAAAGAAGAATCAGCAATATTATTGGTCCTGATCTGACAGCTTAGCTTCAGTCACTTTCCCATTGCCGTAAGGTTGCATCTCTGTGTCTTTTCTATAAATAATTTAATGGTAATTTTTTGGATGATCTTTTTGTTATGGTACCTAGACATTTTAAATTTAAATGTTCTACTAGACTGGCATTGTGATCTTATCAATTTACAGTTGAGCTGGCTAGATTTAGCTGAATGTTCTATGCTAAGTTTCTTTTCTCACACTTCTCAGTTGTGGAATTCACTTCCAGCTCCCTGTTTTCCAGCCAACTTTAATCTGCAAAAATTTAAATGCAATCTCAATGTCTATCTACTGCCCTCTTGATTACTCTTTACTTTTTCCACTCATTATTAATGTTTCTATTCTTAATTCTTCCACACCATGTAACCCTTGTTTTAGTGGCTTTATATATATTATCACTTTAAATTAGAAAATATTATGAATTAATTAGTGTTCGGGATAAAATTATCCTGTCGGCAGACTCTACTTTGTAGAAAATGCAGAGAGAATTTTTTTTTAAGTGAATCTTCTATATTGTAAAATACAGTATATTATACAAGTTGTTCATAAAGTCTCTTTACAATCAAAAAAAAATGATTACAAAATCAAATCAACAGACAAATATGTGGAAATTGTTACAAAATGAGTAGATGAAGTTTTTTTTTTTTTTTTAACTAATTTAATCTACCTCTATATGGTCATCGTTAGTTGCACAAAGCACATCAAGACTGTACTTGATTTATGCAATCAATGTTTTCCTCAGAAATTCTTGGTTGTCCACTCCTCCCTTTATTCAAAACTTTCCCTGTCTCTATAAATTTCTTGTGTCATCCACGAGTTGATGGATATGACAGCGGATCTCTTCTATACTTAGTAGTTTTGCTGAGTTTGCATATTTGATTTTGTTTCAATAAAACATGATACACATTGTGCCTTATCTTGACGAGAAACAATTTTTAGGGTTTTATTTAACAGTACCTCTTTTATCAACAGCTTACCTGAAATACACAATGTGATTAAAAACATTGATAACTATTGAGTACATAGAACAAATCTGATTACGATATCTCATCAATTGCCTTTGTAATATATTTTTTAAATTTTAAAGTGACTTTATGGATATCCTGAATTTGGTTTAAAAAAAAAAAAAAAAAAAAGATTTAATTATTCATCTAACCTTTCATAATATCTTATTGATAATTTGAACAATTTTTTATAGTAGATAATTATCTACTATAAAAAATTTAAAACTGTTAATATCATTGTCAAAAATAATAATTCATCTGCAAAATCTAAATTACAGAGAACCAATATTATTCAATTATCTACATATCCCTTAAGGAGCTGTGTTCCTAACCAATCCAAATTTATAAATAATTATAGTGGATATACTGCAATATGTTTAACAAGAAGACTCACATTACATCACTCTGACCATAGCTCAATCAGGTCTCATTTAAATACACACGGAGATCTACCAAATTCTATCTGTGAGATAGTGGAAGCATTATTAATAAAAAAGAAAAAGCTAACACTCAATAATATCAACTATGAACATGTCCACAATTTTGCTGACCATGTTTGGATAATAAAACATTCTTACAACTCTAGGTACATACATAAAACAATACATACATTTAGTTAAAAGTAAAAATAAATTTAATTCTTGATAATGGCTAAATGTATAGCTGAAAGTACTCGGACATTCAAAACATTTGGACAACGTTTATGTAATATCCAAAAAAAAAAAAAAAAAAAATAAGAACACATGAAAAATTAAATGAAAAACTTAACCATGGTACCTTGTCAGCCGTTTTTAATGAAATATATATATATATATATATATATATATATATATATATATATATATATATATATATATAGTATATTTTGGCAGCATTTTTCATTAAACATGTCTCATTAAATAATTTATACAAATTTTGTCTACTTATTTTTAATAGAATCCTCTCATAATTACAGACAAATTTCTTGTTTAAAATACATCTATACTTTTTCATGAAAATAATAAACATAAACTCTTGAAGCTATCTATATTAAAAAATTGAAACCAACCCTTAATAAAATTAATTATGAATACTGCACAAATGTTTTAAAATGTTTACAGCAGATAGTTTAAATATCTAGGTTTTAACTCAGTTTTTCTTTAAAAAAGTTTAAACATATCAATAACCTCCCTTGATGTTTGCACGCGTGTCTATATGATAAAATTTAAAAATTGTACAGTACATAATCTTAGCACTTTTCATTTCACACATAAAAATTTAATTTTTAGATGACCACAACAATTTTTTGTCTTAGAAAAAACAAGGCCTTGATGATGATGTCAAAAGTACTCGGAATAAAATGAATATGCATCAACATGGTAATTTTCTTTCTTCCTTTAATAAGGATGCTAAGAAACTTGTCAGTAATTATGAGAGGATCCTATTAAAAATAAGTAGACAAAATTTGTTTAAATTATTTAATGAGACATGTCTTTATATATATATATTTTCCCCCTTTTTAATGTATATTTGATTATTTTTTTCCATAATATTTTCCTCTTTTAATGTTTCAGGGTGATGGCCAGCCTGTTTTACACAAGGCAGTTCTTCGTTGTAATGTACCCATTGTGAGAAACATTGCTCATGCACTCGTCTGTATCAACAAGATACAGCTTGATTCTATCCGAGATTCGGTAAATGCCTTTTTTTTTTTTTTTTTTTTTTTTTTTTGAGACATAATCTGTATATTTCTGTTAATTTCTTTTGCATTTTTTGTCAATTCTTGAAAGTTTCTCTTTTATAAATTAAATGAACAAAAATCAAGCATGACTTATAGAAATTCTATGGTGATTTTTTTTTGTAATTTTCTGATAAAACAAAGTAAATTCTACAATCTGACAAGCTTTTTTCCCTGGTGCCCCGCTGACAAATTTAAATGTGCTACTAGATTGGCATCTAGGTCCCACCCTTTTACTGTTGAAATAGCTAAATGCAACTGCCATTTCTACTTCAACAGTTTCTTTTCTCACACTTCACTTGTGGAACTCCCTTTTGTTTACTTGCTTCCTACAATCTTCAAAAATTTAAATGCAATGTCAATCGTCATCTTCTGTCTTCTTGAACCCCATTCATGTTTTGACCTTTCTTCAATCCATCCTAGACTCTTTTACTTTCACTCCCTGTAAAACCCTGTGTACTAGTGGCATTATCACCTTGCTTGGGGCAAAATGATTAAAAAAAATATCCTATGTAAAAGAAAATAAAAAGGATTTATATTTTCCACATTTTTAAAAAGTAGCACTTTCATCTATAAATTTATTAATACTTGATAAAAGACATTTGTATTTCTTCAAGACCTACAGAGCTAACCTATGGTTTATATTGCAAGTATGCTAAACAAACGTTGGGGGGTATAGTTTCTGGCAGAGAACACATCTGGTGTGAATCCAACCAGTTTACTTGAACTCTCACTCACAATGACTTGTGATTCTAGCGCGCAATCATTAATGGCTTCTGAATAATTTTGTCTATGTTGTTTCACTCACAAGCTTTTCATGCATTTCCCAACAGTGCCTGGAATCCTCTCTCAAGGCTGATATTATTAAGAAATCAACCACCTAACAAATTAACCCTAGTTAAACTTGAAACTGGGTCACATAGCCTGAACAGTGTCAAAAGAATGTTTTTTTTAATTGTATTAGTTTTTAAAATATTTAAATATAAAATTATTCTTCTAAATAAACAATGTAATAAATAAATAAATAGTGTTTAATATTTTTGTTTTAAATTCTCAAGAATAAACATTGTGGAGGAGAAGTAATTAAAATAAAAATGGTGTCATGGGAAAAACCATCCTTTTTGACATTTCTTGACAGTCCATGTTTCCTTTTTATTCCCTAATGCAAATATTGTTGCCTTTGGAATCTTATTTACACATTTATTTGAATAAACCAAGCTTGAGATTTCTCAGTAACTTAACCATATTAGTGTTTTTTGGAGGGATGGGTGGGGGGATTTGCTAAAATACCAGAGGAATAGTTTTCAGTGACCCACAATGTAGGAACCTTAATAGGATTATTTTTGTGTGCATTAATACTCTGCTGCAAATCAGTGCAGTATCTGTGTGCACATGCACACACATAGTTATCAACTGTCTGTTTACACTAGGCAACAGAATTGAGGTGAGAAGTGGGAAATAAGAAATTAGAACAGGTAAGTGTGAAGGAGAGAAAGATGAAGTGTAAAAAAGAAAAAAGCTTAAAGAAATTCAGGTGAAAAGAAAAATGAAGAGATACAAAGACATGAACAGGTTTTTGTTGTTTTTATTACTCCTTTATCCCTTTGACCTTTTAAAGTGGGTGAAGCTTTATTTTTCTTTTTGATTAATGCACATCATCATTAGTGTAGATAGATAATATATAGATATTATTTGTAAAAGATTACCTACTTTGAATAGCAAAATATCTTTTCTCTCTGATAAGACTTTATTCTATATCTGTTTAATCTCTTGTAGTTTTATCGAACTGCTTTACACTATGCATATGGCATGACAGAGGACACTGAAGTGGCAAATATTTTACTTGATTATGGCTGTTCTGAATTTACAGTTGATAAGGTAAGGTGGCTTTTATTAAGGCTTTTCAATTGAATATATTTCCCATGTCTGATCATCATCCTCCTCCTCCTCCTTTGACCTCCTTGTGGTTGGTTGGAAATTCCATTGACAATCCCATTCCACACTGTTTGGTCCTGCAATGCTGTCCCAAGATCCCCAATGTCCAACCCTCAGTCCAGAGCTATGGTGTCTGGGGAAGTCGGTTTTTGTGAGAAGACACTTCCAGAAGGATGTCTTAGGAGTAAGGATGAAACAATTTCCCTGTCCACTCGGTGGCAGTAGCCAGAAAACTATAATCATCTTTGTTTGAGCTTAAAAGAGATTGGTTTCAGTTCTCTGGGAATTGCATGGGATCTCCAAATAATGTTCTAGATGAATAAAAAATTTTAAAAAAAATCCTTAAGTTTGCTCATTTATGGTAAAATCATTTACACATAAACAACTGTCAGTAAACAACATGGAAGATAATATGTCAATAATGCTTAATCCCATGAAGGGATTTCTTGCCTTTTCAAAACCAGTAACAGCTCAGAATGAGAATTTGGTGAGCTCGCTTTGTACAAACAAATACCCTTGGTATCTATCTCCTCCCACCAACTATGGGTTAAATAGTACGACTTGTATCTTGAAAAGTTATTGTTATTCTCAAATAATTGTTATTGCTATATTCACTTGCAAGAAGAATCAATACAATCCGAAATATGCTTTGATTTTAATTAACATAAGAGGTTGATAAGCTGTTAAAAAAAAAAATCAATTTCATAAATTGCTTCAATTTGGAATTTTATTTAAAATCTATACATTTATTTAAAATATGAAGTAAATCCTTGCAGAAAAAGGAAAAAAAGCTTTTCTTGAAGTTAATGATAAAAATCAGTTAAAAATATAGCATTGGTTCAAATATTGTCGTCTCAACAGGTCTTGGACAAAATTATGTCTAAGCAGAGCATCTAAAAATACATGAAAAAAAAAATGAAAGGGAAGCTCATTTTCATCTAAGAAATTCCAGCCACTTAAGAAAAAAATGTTTTCATTTGTTTTCAGGATGGTCGTTCTCCTCTTTCATTCAAGGATAGACGAAACCAAAAATTAATGGCTGACCTCTTGACCTATCAATTAAGCCAGGTATGTTTTTTCTTCTATTTTTCTTTTCTCTCTTTCTTTCTTTCTTTTTTTTTTCTTTTCTCTCTTTCTTTCTTTTCTCTCTTTCTTTCTTTTCTCTCTTTCTTTCTTTTCTCTCTTTCTTTCTTTTCTCTTTTTCTTTCTTTTCTCTCTCTCTCTTTCTTTTCTCTCTCTCTCTTTCTTTTCTCTCTCTCTCTTTCTTTTCTCTCTCTCTCTTTTCTCTTTTCTCTCTCTTTTCTCTTTTCTCTCTCTTTTCTCTTTTCTCTCTCTTTTCTCTTTTCTCTCTCTTTCTTTTCTCTCTCTCTCTTTTTCTCTCTCTCTCTCTCTTTCTTTTCTCTCTCTCTCTCTCTTTCTCTCTCTCTCTTTATAAATTTATAAATTATTAAGATATGTGAACCAACTATAAGGAAATCCTTATTATTTACCATTTTATAAAGTTTAAATCAATTGGCAATTAGCTGAAGTTTTGCCAACAATTCCAATAAATAATATAAATAAATATTTAATATTTTTGATGTGAACAAAGAAATGTATAAATTCACTTTCATGTGTTTGAGTTTTATTACAATTCTGATTATTGCTTTTTAAAACAATAAACATTGCTGAAGAGTGAAGGTCGTTAAAATAATAGTGGTGTCAAGGGAAAAACTGTCCTTTTGACACTTTTTTTTTTTTTTTTTAATGGGCATGAAAGTCCAAGGTTGCTGAAAATTATTTCATGTTTATATTAAAATGAAACCTTATATAAAACAACTCAAATATTCATGAACAAGAAAAAATATTATTTTAACATTTACTCTTAATTTTAAAAATGTGTTTAACTAAATATCATGTAATAAACAACATGAGTATCCATTTTGGGAAGAAGATTCTTTTTCTAAAGTTGGGATGATGTTTCGTTTTTTAATTGACATCACCCCAAGCAAGGCAGTAGAGCTGCTAAGACACAAGGGGGTCCCAGAGTGTGAAAGAATTAGGAACAGAAACATTAATAATGAGCGGGAAGAGTAGTTGGGAGGACAGTAGATAGCAATTGACATTGCGTTTAAATTTTTTGAAGATTAAAATTGGCTGGTAAGCATGGAGCCGGAAAGGAGTTCCACAAATAAGAAGTGCAAGAAAAGAAACTGTAAATTGATGAGATCTCAACACCAGTCTAGTTTCTACTTAGAAAAAAAAATTAAAATTTTCCTTTATTGTTCTCTCTCCTTGCTTTTTTTTTTTTTTTTCATATTCTGTAACACTCAATTACCTCTTGCGTCTTAGTGGCTTTATTGCCTTGCTTGGGGGAAAATGATTAAAAATCAAAAATGCTAAAAATTCCAGTACCATTACCTGCAGACGACTGCAATTTCGTTCACCATTTTTTTTTTTTTTTTTTTTTCTTGGCTTTAAAATTAAAAAAAAAAAAAAAAAAAAACTATTCTTGTAAAAATCAATTATTTATCAAAAAAAATTTTTTTCTTAAGTCAATAGTGTTCTTAATATATCTTAATTATAAAACCAATTAAAAGCTTTTCTAATTAAATACTGTCATAGTTTTAATACATATTTTATTTTACGATTTGAGATTTTTGGTAAATTGTGTTTCTGTTTGACAAAAACAAATTGATGATTTAAATTCTCCAAGGAGTCCTGTTTTTAACTAATATGAAGAGGCTGATATTTTAATTTCTCAATTTCATAAAATTAAGTAAGATGTAAAAAAATATATATATACACCATGATTTTTTTTAAAAAAAAAAAAAATTTCAAAAACAATTTTATTCATTTGTGAATAAGTCCTAAAAATTTTATTAAAATCTGACAATTATTTGATTTTTGCAAGTATTTCCAAAACAATTTGTTTTTTACCGCAAAGAGATGCTAAAATTCCCAAAGTAATTGTTGGCCCACTGCTGACACAAAAAAAATGAAACAAGATTTTTAACCAAAATTTCAAATGTGTGAGACAGGTTTAAAAAATTTAATACAGTAATCAAAAAATGATTTGGTCTTTCCTCTTAATAATAACAAAAGTTTGGATGATAAAACTTTGTAGTATTCATAAAGTTTGTCCTGGTATGCTTTTGTTTGTTTTTGTTTTGTTGTTTTTTTGAAAAAGTAGATGTACCTTATTTTAGATGAAAAAGTAGATGTACCTTATTTTGAAAAAGTAGATGTACCTTATTTTATGCCAGTTCTATGGCTTGGAAAAAAATGTTTCTTTCCCCATATGAATTAAAAACTTTAAATCTCTAACTTGCATTTTAAATTGGTTTATTATGATTAATAATGAAATTGGTTAATAAGACATTTTTTTTTTTTTCTTTCTACAGAATTACTCTGTTTCTGAACCTAACCCTTGGGCATCGCCATTACCGTTACCTGTGATAGGGTACCTGATGGACTGCCAAGATAGTAACCACTTGCACAAACTTCGCAGTAGTCGGATGAAAGCCCTCAGCTACCAGCAACCCTCAACTTCCACCAAGGCAGCTGCATGCCACAGTAGTAGCAGCAGCAGTAGTGGAGGAGATGTGAGGAGGGGCCGGTTGCCCCAGGCCCCATCATCATCATCATGTGAGCGTTTTCTTGCCTACCCATCTGAATGGAGCATGGAGAGCAGTGATGATGATGACAGCGAGACGAGCGAGAGGGAATTCGATGATATCTCTGACGATGATGACGATGATGATGCTGCTGCTGCTGCTGCCCATGCTGAAAAACGAAATGAACAAAGTGAGGGCCGGTGGAACTATATGTCCTCCTATGCATCGTATGCTTCCCCATATTGTTCAATATTGTAATGGTTCTGGATTCTTGGTTTGGTGTCAGTATTGGGATAACCTGTGGTCAGGACTGTCTGTGAAATGATAAATGGAAAACTATAATGGTTGTGTTCTGTGGACAGATTTTGGAAATAATTTCAATAATTTAACAGAGTTGACTTGGCAGCCATATTGTTCTGATGACTAACATTAGTTGGTTTGTTAGTATGTCTCTCTCTCTCTCTTTTTTTTTTTTTTTTTTCTCTTTAAGTCTGTTAAAATGAATGTCTCTAAGAGTTTGGCGCAGTAAGAACTTTACAGAACCCAGCACATTTATATAAACATGAACACTTTATTTTTTTGAGAAATATTTAAAAAAGAAAGTTGTTACTCATAACCTCTGAAGAAAAGCCTCCATGGCCACTTCCCGTTTTTCCCAACTTTGAGTGGACTTAGGCCAAAATATTTAGGGACATTGTAAAAGATTTGCTTGTTTAGACTATGCAGTTCTCTTTTCTTTCAACTTTCAGCTCTCCAACCATCATTGGGTGATAGAATAAAGTTTATCTCACTTTCAATCCTCTGCATATAGTTTGTGTTTTAGTGCATGAGAAATAACAAATTGCATTATTTAAAGTGCACTTTTATCAAGTAAGTGTTTTAAGTAGTGCAATATTGACAGAAATGTCTAAAGTTTCAAGGACCAGGTTGATTAGGGTTAAAATAAAAAATAAAGCGTCTGCACTGAACATTTTCTTGGACGTTATAAATATTTATTATAAATATTTATTATGTTGCTAAACAGATTTTTCAAATATTAGCCAATCCAGCTAGAACCCATTTTTGCAATTTAGAAATCAAATAAAATCTAATGTTTATTTTAATTAAACAGTAAAAAAATTCACATTATTTATGCTTTTAAATTGTGGATTATTTCTATGAATTTCTATATACTTGATAAAGACACTCAGTTACATGCCATACGTAATATATGCTTAGGCAATCATGTATCTTTCGATACATGACTGACAAGGCAGATTTTTTCCTGTAGTAGGTTGCCATTTCTTTCTGCGATAGACCAGTTGCCATCCAAGGCTATAGAACCCTGTCTGTCCTGTTATTTAGCCATAGCTGGGGGGAGAAAAGGATTCATACCTTTCCCAGGGGTATTAGCACGTAAATGAATGTAAAAGATTTGACTGGAATTCAAACTCAGCTCTACAATTCCTCAATCGAAGCCACTATCCATTAATCCAGCATGCCTTCTCCCCCACCAAATTAAAGACACTATTATTGCTATTACTAACTTTATATCTCCTGATTAGTGGACAGAGTGATTACTGGAGGGTGAAGGATTCAACTACAAAACTATAGATTTGGGATGCTGAAGGTAATACCAATCAGCTAAGTGACAAATTTAATATTTGTATTAATTATATATGATCAAGTTGTCTTGAAGATTGAATGAGCATGAAAGTCTGGTTGCAACATCCTTTCATAGGAATTAACGTTGTTAAGTGTTTTTTTGCTCTGTCTAGGCAATCTGGACTTAGAGCACTTTACTTAGTCAGGGGGTGTTTTCCTTTAAGCCTTTTTTCTTTTTTTCAGTATTGTCATTTTCTTTGAGACTTTAGGTTTTGGCAACTTGTCTGTTGGTTCCATGAACACTTTTGTTTTTTTTTTACGTACACACACATATATATATATATATATATATATATATATATATATATATATATATATTATGCCTTCACAATCTTCTTTTTACTTTGAATCTTATATTTTCCAGTATTTGGGCTTGTTAAAAATGACAAGATTTCTGCAGCTAAATAATGATGAGTTGGTGAACTGTCTCTCGCTACACGTCTGTCTCAGACAGCCTGATAAACGCAGACAGCAATCAAAACTCTGAAAAAATATCCAGTTTATCAGCAGGTTTATTGAAAGCCAAAAGGGGGTGAAATAGAAATACAATTTTGAGACTAGTTTAATCCCAAAATAAATAAAAAAAGAAAGAAGAAATATGACATAGGTGCTAACCACAGCTGAGAGTTCAAGGGTTTAAAGGAGTAAACAATGTGGCAAGTAATTTACAATAACAAGTCCACAGAAAGGAATAAAGTTACAGTCTGACACAGTGTGAGAACATTCAACACAGGGTAAATGGGATTCTACATGACAAAGTGCAACAGTAAAAATAAATGTCTACAAAGGTTGCTGCCCTTAAAGAAATGTTCAGTTAATGATACAATATTAAAGGAGACCAATGCTTAGAGAAAAAGGTAGACGTTATATAGGAATAAAGTGTCACTGCCCACACTTGAGTTTGAACATAGATCACCAGTGAGCAAACACAGGCGATCCCATTATTGAATTAAGTAGATCACATGACAATAGAGGAAATGCATAAATAGGTAGTAGTGTGGTGTCAAAATGATTGTATTACTATGTCGATTGCTCTTTCTACTCTATCCTCTATTACTATTTGGATCACTATTCAGTGGTTACTTTTCAAGCGAGTATTATTGAGCAAGTACTATTAGTGTGAGTGTTATTTGAAGGTATCTGACACCAGTATTGTTCAACGGCATTACTATAGTTGTATTGGCGATTACAAAGTCTCTACTA